AATTAAGAAATTTATTCTTTCAAAAATTAGTTTTAACATTTATTCTAGGTGCATATTTTGCAGTAACAACTGCTCAAAGCACATGGATCTACCGAGCAATCAAACTAGACGATCCAGCGTTTTTACAAATCAGTCATATTCGCCTGATTCTGATGTACTTACATCATTTGTTTTACCAACAATTGGCTTCTGCATTGCGATCATCATTGCAATGCTCTGTGGAATTCATAAAATTAGGGAGTGGGAATTGGAAAAAATCATTGAAACTCGAAGAAAACGACGGGTTGTTGAGAGAATCACAAGGTGTTTACGGGAGAAGAATTTGCAGACACTAGAACGTAAGTGGAAAAATTTTCTATTATATTACTTCGATCTTGGAATATTCAAGGATACCTCTTTATGGCTGACAGTCTTCTTCTCTCTTAATTATCTCTAAAAAAAAACAACTGTCCTTCGTACTGCTCAAAAGCCATGCTTCTAAACTACCAGTACCACTTTGTCCAAGAAATTTTGCGGAAGTAGAAATACCAGCAAACACATGAGATAGTACTACTAACTATTTTTCAGCTGTCAATAAATCGTTTTAACACCAGAACTTAAGTCTAGCCATCAAATGGCGACACCATTGCCGGTTGAATTTCAAAAGAATATTTATTTTAGTGTTTTAACATGTCTGAAAAAATTATGAGTTTTATGTTTTATCGCAACAGTTGTCCAGAACTTTAAATGACGAAGATTAATGAAATTTAGGGTAAAACTTTTCTGTGAAGAAAATTTTTTACTTTTTTTTTCGCTGTCAATAGATTTTTTTAGGTAAATTCTTGGTGAGAATTACTCGTAGTCGGAAAAGATGAGTTCTCATGAGAAAAAGGGAAATGAGGGGGGTGGAAAAAATACATGTATTTCTTGGAACCTTTGTACCTCAGTTTGTTTTATACAAGGCGCCAGTGCTAAAAATAAATGTACCTAGCATTTCGAATTTACCAAAATTGCCAGCGGACTAAAGCAATATTTAAAAACCGGTGTTGTGACTTACAAATTTTGTTTTGAGTAACAGTAGGTTAATTACTGATGCTGTGGATGTTGCGGTAAAGATCACTAGAAACCAGTAATGAATTTGAATTCTTAATTTTTTTTGAGAAGCTGTGAAAGCTAATGATAATTACCAATAAGTTTCATTTTAGTAAATAATGCGGGAAGAAGATATGATGGTAATAAAACCTCATATGCTTTTAAAATTTTTATTTTATTGCACTTTTGCTTGGATTACTGCTTATGACTTTAGAGCATATTTAATTGAAGTTAGACGACAGTTATTTCAGCGGCTTTGTTCTCGTGTTTAGCAAAATAAAAGGAAGATTAAGTCTTCTATAAATTTAAAAAAATGTCTAATAGTTCAGAAGATTGTGATTGACTCAAATGAAGCCATGCTCCTGAATTTTTTGAAATGTGATGAGAGCGACTGGTAAAGATCTTTAAAATCTGATTTAGAAAACTACAGTCAAATACTAATAATTCTGTGTATCAAATTTTCCAGCTCAGAATAACAAACAGCTGATAGGTGCTACTGTTAGCATGAAAAAAAAATGCAGGAAACTAATTTTGATATGCTTAGAAAACAGCTATTATAACTTCTGAGTGAGAAAGTTTAAGTGTATAACTACCACTAATTTTTAAAAACTTGGGTTGAGACCTTTATGACAGTGGAGGACGTGATGGAAGAAGTACCATACAGGATAACTGCTTTTGCAACTTCAATGTGGCAGTCAGTAGTTCCTAATGTCATTAAAAATACGAGAACTGAGAGAATTACTCCCGGTAGTGACTAAAAATTGCTAAGAATACTGCTTTACTTTTTTTATTTTTTAATTAGTCTTGTAATTTTTTCTCTCGCTCTGTTATTCTTATAAAATATCTTCCTGACCAGAACAAATTACAAAAGATTTGAGGAACTGGTAGAGTCAAGGGACAGGAAAAGTGATTTTGAAGAAAATATACAATTAAAGTATCTTGCTAGAAAAGGATTGAAAACATGAGTAGTTAGGAGCAGTATTCAGTTGTTCGTTCTTAATATATTTGAAAGAATAATTGTCAGCCTATTTTTTTTTTGTACTACATTTAAATACTTACTTTAAGTAGCTGCTTATAATTCCTTTTTTTCAGACAAAATTTCTAAAGTATTAAATTTTTTGGTAATTGCAATGGTCGCATCAATTCCAAACTATCATAATTTTTGATGGGAAATTTCTGCGGTATTTTAAAAGCACTTTTGTTTTTTCATTTTATTCATTATTTCAGAATTTTTTTTTGTATTTTTTATATTAATAGCAATACGAGAAAAAATTTCTTGAACTGTTTTCCAAAGAAAAGAAAACATTTTTTTAAAAAACACTTTATTCTATTTGAAAAACCTCAGTCTCTCAATTTTCTTTTATTTTTAGTCGCGTTGACTATTCTGATATCGGTTTAGATTCTTTCTTGTAACTATTTAATTGTTAATTTTTCATTCATTAGGATCAAAAGTTGTTGGTTTTAAAGTAAGATATTTTAACACATGGAAACCTTTTAGAAGAAGTTTTACTGAAACATTTGTCAAGTTTTCAGTTTACCTGCAGCAAATGACGGGTTTTAAAAATGAATTTATCAAGTTGGTTGGGTATCAAGGGGAGGGGCGTACAATTCAAAGTAAGCCAAACTGTAGAGGAGCTATCTTAGGTAATTAATTAATTCAACAAAATACCTAATAAAGCTCTTGATTACAACCAAACGGTTAAACCAGTTGAGTTGCAGGTTTAAGAAATTTGAAACAACGCCGTATCGCAATGAATCCAATACCGAAACCTTCAGCAGACTGTTTGTCAGAAGTTGTCGTCGATCACCGTCGGCCTCCACATTATACAAGGCAGCCGTTATACCATGGTATAGATTCACCGCCACCAGGTTACGATGAAGCACTACTACAGGAATTTATTCAAGAGTGTCAAAATCATCGTATTCCTGCATACACAGAATATTTTTTTAGATAGCGTTAGTTGTAAGGCAACTTACACTAGGACTATTAAATCAGTCTACTTTTACGATAGAAAACTTCTATGCAAAACAATTTTTAACGAGTAACAGTAGTGTTAGTTTTAGGTGAAAGTTTTTACAATATATTTTTAATTTATTTAGTTTATTTATTGCTTTTATAAGCATTATAATATTTAAGCTTTGCTAAAAGCTTGAGCTTTAACTCAGGACTATTCAGGAAGAAAAAGTTAATTTTTTTTTTCACTAATTTATTTTGAGTTGAAATTGGAATGAAATAATTTTAAGGGAAAAGATACTGTTCACAGAAGATTATAAAAATTTCTTCTTCTTCTCTCTCCACTCTAAAAAAAAAATACAAGATTTATGGTAAAACTTCTGGAAGTCGTGTTATGAATGTGACTTTCTTCTTCAAAACAAGACCTTGCTTTCAAAGTTATAAGTTTTCTTTTTGCTTGCTATGTAAACTACGTGTAAAGAATATTGTCTTTAAAAATCTGCTTTTAGAAACAAAATACTTTAATTCTGTCGACGCTCAAAA